AATGCTCAGCTCTATGTTTTAAAGTTCTACACATGTTGATGAGGGTAGGGGGATTATAAGGGATGCAGTTGGTGCCCCACCCAGACCCCCTTTACCAGACATAGTGGCCTGACCACCAGCTGTTGTGAGTATTGGCTAAAAAACACTCACAGCTGCCACCTTCTCTGGAGAATTGCCCTTGGTCAAACAGAAGCCAACTGGCCAGGGAGACTCCCCGCCTCCCTCCCTGACCCCTACACTTGGCCAGCGACTGACAGATACAGGATTACAAGAGGCCTCAAGGTGGGAACAAGTCTGTGGCATAGTTTGTGCCACAGAGGACCCCATGAGGTCATGCTGGAGCAAGTCCCCGGCAGAGACCCCATCCTCACTTTGCCTTTTTTTTGCCTGTTGTGGAGCACAGGCTCTGGACGCGCAGGCTCAGCAGCCATGGGTCACGGGCTCAGGCGCTCCGCGGCACGTAGGATCCTCCCGGACCGGGGCACGAACCCGCGTCCCCTGCATCGGCAGGTGGACTCTCAACCACTGCGCCACCAGGGAAGCCCCTCACTTGGCCTTTTATCTCCTGCCTTCCTTCCTCCTTCCCTTCCTCCTAAGGACACTCCCCACCAAAGGCAGTTAAACAAGAATCCTCATCTCTGGCTCTCTGACCTATGAGAGTGACCGTGCATTATCATCCAAACTGTTACACATTTGAGGATGCAAGGGGTTCTATTAATAATCAGCCAGGGCAATCTTATGGTAAACCATAATGGAAAAGAATATTAAAAAAAAAAAGAATGTATATATATGTATAACTGAATCACTTTGCTGTACAGCAGAAACTAACACATTGTAAATCAACTAAAATATTGAAAATATTGAAAATAAAAATTTTAAATATTGAAAAAAATACTGAAAGAATATTGAAAATATTGAAAAAAATTAAAATATAAAATATTGAAAAAAAAGTCATCCAGGGCAAAGGGCAGAAGCCATGACTGTCCTGACTGCACTGACGGAGCAGACACTTGGCTCGTTGTTTCTCATTGCTGCCTAGTATCCCATGGTATACACCCAGCACATTTTGTCTATTTGTTCCTCAGGGACACACACCTAGGTTCACTCTAACTTCCTGCTACGACCAGGAAAAAAAAAAAAAAAAACTGCAGGAAAATCCTCAGACATGTTCCCTAATAGACCTGTGTGAGAATTTCTCTAGGATGATGGAACTGAAAACACAAGCCACATGAGCAGTTTTAGCCTCCAAAAAAATCTTCCCAAATGAGAATTCCAGTCTTACTGTAAGGAGGTATAGGGGCACAGAGAGTGTTTCTTCTATCTTAGTAAAACCCCTGTGGCGCTTACTGCTGGCTCCACACTGCTAGAAATACAGGAGTTCCCTGAAGTTCCCTGAGGAAATCACATTTGACTCAAGCTTTGAGGAATGAGTAGGGGTTAACCAGTGTTGTGAGGAAAGATAAACATGGTTAGGTGGAGGGAACAATAAACTCATTCATTCACATATAAATATTTATTGAGCACATATATTTAAAGGTCCTGTAGCCTCAGTAGGTAATTTAACAGTAAACATTTACACAGTTTCACTGCTTCCCTGCCCATTCTCTCCCAAGAATCAAGACCACAGGATCACCTGGGCTCCTGAGGCAGGACTATACCTCCTACAAATACAGTGGATCTCCTACACCAGCATTTGTCAAACTAAATGTACGCTTAGATCACCGGGACATCCAGTAGGTCTGGGTGGGGCCTGAGATTCTACATTTCTGATAGGCTCCCAGCTGCTACTACTAGTCTGGGGATCACGCCCTGATTAGCAAGGTCCTGCAGAACCACAATACCATTATCACTCCCAAACAATCCACATTCAAATTTCCCCACGTGTCCGAAAATTTTCTTTATAGCCTGTTTAAAAATGTTGTGATCCAGGATCCAATCAAGGATGATAGATTACATTTGCTTTTCCCCTCCCTTCATTCTCCTTTCATTTACAACATGGATTTTTGGTTTTTTTTCTCTTTCATGGCCGAACATTTTTGAAGAGTTCAGGCTAGTTGTTCTGAATATGTCACAGTCTGGCTTTTTCTTATTTTTCCTGATGCTTCCTCATGAGTAGATGCAGGTTAAACATGTTTGGCAAGAAGACTACGCAGGTGATGTGTCCCCCGCATTGCATCACGTCTAGTCATTTTGTCCCATCCCATTCGGTGGTGCTAAATTTGATCGCTTGGTTAAGGGAGTGTCCACCAGGTCACTCCACTTTAAAGGGAAGTTTTTCCTTTTATAAATAACTAGTAATCTGTGGGGTAAATTGTGTGACTATCCTGTCCCTCAAAAACCTTTCTCCCAAGGGTTAGCATCCACTAATGATCCTTGCTTACTATTTTCAGAATTATTTAAGCATGTAATAGTGTGTGTGTGTGTATGTGTGTGCACATATATGAGAAAAAAATTGGAAAAACTGAAATCCATTCACAGTGACTGAACACAGTAATAAGAGAAATGGGGTGGGAGTAAGTCTGCATTTTTCTTTGGAACAAGTGTTTGGTAATTTAACTATCCCAGGCTCTAAACAGGCTCCATTATTGACCTCAGCTCAGATCTCCTCTGGGAAAGTAACACCATACAGGAGGCTTGGCAGATGAAGCCTCCGGGCACCACCCCCCCACGCACAAGATTGTCTTATCCTTGTCTCCAGAGAGTACCAAGACAGGCTGGCTCCAAGCCAGAAATCCAACCCTCCAGAAGCCTTGACGGGAGCTTTCTGAACTTGAGTCGACCCCTCAGTTCTCTGGGTCATATTCACAGTCTCTCATGAGTGTAAAGGGAGATGGCCAGATCTGCCCCAGACCAAACTAAATCAAGTGCTCAGCCTTGCATGAAGCAGGAGTGTCTCTGATTTCCAATTGTATGCTCTCAGATGAAGAGGCTCGGAGCCATGAGGCCCAGCTGCTGGGCAAATCCTGTGGCCTGAATTATTGATGGATGAATTCATCAGGCGCACTGCCTTCACCCATCCACTCAGGTCATGTCCAGCTTATTGAAAAACAGAGCCTGAAACTGTACACCATCTGCCCAGAACTAAGTCACTCTGGTCCAAACTCCTTAGCCCTCTTTGTAGCTGGAATATTATAAAGAGCAGAGTCTTCAGAGCCCTATAGACCCAAGTTCAAGTCTCTCCTCTTCCTCTGCTAGACTGTGTGACCTGGCTGGCTAGTTTACCTCTGTGAGCCTGTTTCCTCATCTACAAAATGGGACTAATCATATCTTACCAGTCTTATTGAGATCAAAGAAAACACCTATAAAGTTACCAGTACAGTGCCTGGCATGAACTAGGCAAACTCCATCATGCAAACTTTTATAGTCTGACTCCTTGCCTTTGTTTCCTCTCACTGTGAACCCTATACTCCAACCCCACCTCACCACCTGTCCAGCTTGGACCAGGCCATGTGATTTTACACTATCAGTGTCACTTATCAACTTATTGCCTCTCTGATCTAAAACCACTCTTTTTGCCAGCTCTGTGATAATGGAGCCAGACCTCGTAAATATTTCTTCCTTGCCAGCTGACATACTTTAAGCCTTTTCAGCAGAGTGTACTAGAGGAACACTGGAGGAGAATGGACCTTCCCTTCCTGGTTCGAGGTTGGCTCACTTCCTGGGTTCCTGGAGAGCATGCTTTCTTCCCACTGCTTGGCACAGGGTTTCTCCAGTGCTAGGTGCCTGCAGGGTACAGCTTTCATCAATTTGTCTGCTACATACTTTCTCCAGCTCTTAACTAGAGCACCATTAGCATAGCCAGGAGCCCCAGACAGCTTGGGCCTGCACCCAAGTGCAGGTCACTCCTACCTATACCCGCTCCTCACTCCTGGACACACATACACTGGGAACCTGACAGAACTGGCCATCTGCAGAGCAAGCCACCTGACTTTTGTCCTCTGGAACTGGCTGGAACCACCCTGGCCCAAGCCATATACAAAAGTTCACTAGGTTCCTAGAGAGGGAGGTCTCTCTAAATTACTAATCTCCCTTAAATTACTTAATTTAATTTAATTTACTTAAATTACTAATCTCCCTCTAAATTACTTAATCTGCAGTGGTTAAGAATCTGCCTGCCCATGCAAGGGACACGGGTTCGAGCCCTGGTCCGGGAAAATCACACATGCCGCGGAGCAACTAAGCCCATGCGCCACAACTACTAAGCCTGCACTCTAGAGCCCATGAGCCACAACTACTGAAGCCCGAGCCCATGCTATGCAACAAAAGAAGCCACCGCAATGAGAGAGCCCACGCACCTCAACGAAGAATAGCCCCCGCTCACCGCTACTAGAGAAAGCCCGCACACAGCAACGAAGACCCAATGCAGCCTAAAATAAAGAAATTTTTTTTAAAAACATGCTATGTAACATATAATTACACCCTAACATCCTATAGACTTTGATTTATCTTATTCATTTTATTTATTGTCCTCCCAACAACCCCCCCCCACCACACTAAAAGTGCAAGCTTCATGAGGGCAGGGACGGACTTCTGCCTATATTGTTCCCTTCTGTGTCCCCAGAGCCTAGGACAGTGCCTGGATATGATGGGATACTCAAATACTTAAGGAGTGAGGGAATGATTAAATATTGGATGAATGCCCGCATGAGTAAACAAATTGTTAGTTATTAGTATCCTGGAGTTAAGGAGGTTGACTGGGACTAGGGAATGGGGTCCTCAGGTCTCCCTAGGGATGGATACCCACCGCAGTGGTCCAGTGTTCCTCTCCCTGCTACCAACACGTTGCTTAGCAACCGGCCGCCTGTCCCTCCGCCACCGCTAGAGGGCGCGCGGGCGGGGAGACGTGAACGCGCACGCGTGCGCGGCGCAGGCCGGCGAGGGAAGCACGTCACTTCCTGTTGCTTTAGGGGAACGTGGCTTTCCACACATCGTGCGTCTTCCTTTCTGCGTCTCTGCTGCAGCTGCCGGAGCTGTAGTCGGACCCCGAGTGCAGCCTTGCCATGGACTCGGCCCTCAGCGACCCGCATAACGGCAGTGTCGAGGCAGGCGGCCCAACGAACGGCACGACGCGGCCGCCTTCCACGCCCGAGGGCATCGCGCTGGCCTATGGCAGCCTCCTGCTCATGGCGCTGCTTCCCATCTTCTTCGGCGCCCTGCGCTCCGTGCGCTGCGCCCGCGGCAAGGTAGGGTCAGCGGCAAAGCCGGGCGCTGTCCACCTCCCACCCTGACACGGCTGGCACGGACCCTTCCCCCGCCCGCCCTGGACGGGACAGACACCTCCTCTGCCCGGACACTGACCCTTCCCAGCATTGCTCACCACCGCATCCCCAACCCGGGCCCACACCTCGGGGCTGACCTTAGGTGCCCCAGGATCTGGGCACCGATCCGCGAACCAGGTACTGATACCTTTCTCAAATAGGGAGCGGCTTCCACCCGCGTTCGGACCTTGACACATCCCTCCCTCTGTGCACCATGCTGGAAGCACTGTTGGCCGACCCTGACATTGTGATTCGGGTACTAATTGTTTTGAGCCTGCTGGACCCAGCCAGACCAGCCTCACCCTCTGCTCTGGCTGTTCATCCCATCTGGGACAGTCACCCAATCCCAGGCTCTGGGTCAACATCCATCTGTATCTGATGGGGCACTGGTTCTGACACCTCCTGAAGAGTACAGCCTCTTGTCATTCCTCACCCTAACCCAGGGCAAATTCTGGCACCCAGGCTCATCCCTAGACTCTGACACCTGTCCAGCTGGAATCTGTGACCGATAGAGTGCTCTCCTAGAACCCCCAGATCAAGCCTTTGCCCCACCTAAAAGAAAAACAAAAACCTAACACAGGAATATTAGCTCCTGGAACCCCCAGCTCAGCTCCTAGTTTTTTGCATCACTTTCTGGAACCAGTTCCGGTCACACAACTCCTCAGGACCTGGCACTTTGGTGCCTCTTTTTTTAACCAGCCATAGACCCTTGGTTTGCTGGTTTCCTCTCCCTGACTACACCCAAGCTCAGACCTGTCCGAGCCTGAGCCCAGACCCTATTCCTAACCCCTAACCCTGACCCTGTTCCCACCCCAGACCCTACCTCAAAGTAGCTCTTCTCATGCCCCTTAAGACAGTCTTTCCACCAAATTGGGCTTACCTGCTGAGTAACTGAGCTGCTGTAGGCCTCTCTTGTGAGACTGGGCCAGAGTTCATCCCTGTCCTTCAACATCTGTCCCATTGGATACCTAAGAGGACTCCAGGGCCTTCCACCTTCTGACTTCCTCTCTGTCACCCTTCTTCCCGATATTAAGCCCTCTCTAGCCTGTTGCACCAGTGACTTCTCACTTCCTGGCAGCCTCTCCCATCATCCTCCACCACCTCCTGATCTGCAGCTCCCTGCTGCTCCTCCCCCACCCAGACCTGGAGTTGAACCTTAGCGGAAGCCGTCGTACCCAAAGAGGGCAGACCCATAGAGGAGCTGCCACTTTTGAAACTGCTCAAGCCCAGGTTCTCAAAACATTACCCAACTTGAGCAGTGGCCGAGGCCTGCCACCTTCCTTTCTCAAGATCAGAGAACTTGAGGCTGGTTCCCTCTGTGGTCAGATGCAAAGGGGATTGGTCACGCAGGGCTTAGGTGGCCCCATTTTCTGTACAGTTCTGCCTCTTCTAAGCAGAGTTCTGGTGGCTTTCATCCTCCCTACCTTTGCCTTTCGGGCAAACACTTGGTACAGGGGGATGTTCTGAAATAGATCAGGACAAAGAAGGTGAAGGGCAGCAAGGAGTGAGCTGGGCACTTGATGTGAGGGGCTCCCTATAGTGAGTAATTCTCCTTGGCACCATGTACACATGGATTAGTAATCTCTTCAGAAAACACCTTCCAGACAACAGAATTTCCTGAACCTTCACTGTTGTCCAGGGCAGACGGATGCTACAAAGATGAGTGGGTCAGAGCCCTGTCACCAAGGAGTTTAGGTGTCTGGATGAGAGAGGAATAACTAGATCTGTGATTGTAGTACAGGTAGTGCTGCAGGCTCTAGGGAGAAAGATTGAGCACACCTGGGGCAGGGCAGGGCGGCTTTGTGCCGGAGGTGGGCTAGAGCCTTGATGTAGAGGTCGAATTTCCCCCAGAAGACATTCCAGGCAGAGTAAACTAGGAAAGCAGCTGTACGAGGCAGTTTAGGTGATGGCGGAAGGTCTGGCTGGAGTGGCTGGAGCAGAGGGTAGGGATAGAAGAGAGCTTTAGATCTACTGAAGCATCTAAATACCTCTCCCCAGCATCTCCGGCAAGACAGTCGGGCTGGAAGACTGTGCATGGAATTGCAAACAGCCTGACCCTTAGTAGTCTCCCACCACCAGTAACCAGGGTATTCTAAAGTTTACAAGCCTTCGCCCTCTGATTCTCCCAGCAACTGAGACAGGCAGAGCCAGTTTTATTAACACCATTGTACAGAGAAACTGAGAGTCAAAGAAATGACTTCTCTGCCAGTTAGGGTCAGAACCAGGTGTCCCTGGTCCTAGTCCAGGGCTCTCTCCTTGATGCAGGTGTCTCTAAAGACCCATACAAGTGGCACTTTGGCCTAGGGAGAGGACAGGCCAAACGACTCCCTTTTTCTACCCTGAGTTGTTTCTCTAATCATTTGGCAAGGAGAGAAAAGTTAGCTTGGGGGCCCAGGAGTTTTAATTTCCCACTAGTGTTAGACCCCCCACAGCCAGCTGAGAGGGCATGTGAGGACAGAATTCTCCCTGGGGGCAAGTTGTCCACGACAGGCAGGGTGAGTTGTGAAATCATGGGAAGAGAAGTCCAGGAGTGTGTTGGGAAGAAGTAGCCATGGGCAGAGCCACCTGAGAGCCGTGCCCATTCCTGTCAGAGACCTCTGTTCCCAGAAGGGAGCGAATCCCAGCAACAGCTACTCAGCATCGCTTCAAAGGCCTTTGGCCTGTAACTCAGAGGAGCCCCTCAGCCAGCTGGACTCGGTTCGTGCTCTAGGCTGGGTACCAGGGGTGCCAAGACAAAGAAGGCCAAGCCCTCCACTCACAGAGCGCAGTCACCAAGGAGAAACAGCTGTGTGACCAGCCGACTGCTAGAGGTGGCAGCAGTGATCTTTGGCAGGGTGGATGAGAGCTCAGCAGGCAGGACAGGAGCAGAGAGAGGCATGGGCCCGCAGGTGTTTCCCAGGAGGCAGTGAGCAGTTTGATGTGAGTCCAGTACAGGTACTCGGGTGATGTAACAGGAAGATGTTTTGGGATCCTGCGGCCATTCTGAGGTACAGAATCCTGAGGGCAACACACCAGTTAATCTTCGTAGTTACTACATGTTTGCATTTGTAAAAATTCAAGCAACGCAGAAGTATAAAGGAAAAGCCCCCCCAGCACCACTTCTGTGGAAGTGACCCAGTTAGCTGTTTGGTGTGCCATCTTCCAGACCTTTTTCTGTATATATACAAACATGTATGTGCCTGTGTGTATATACACATGTAAATTTATTTTTATAAAAGTGGGATTTTGTGGTACATAATTGCTTTGAAACTTGATTCTTTTTTTTTTCCTTAATAATATGTCTTGGTCATTTTCCTATGTCAGTACATGTAGATGTACCTTGTTTTATGGTGGGGAGGGTAGGTCACGCACGCCCAAGGTGTAGAATTCCAAAGGTACAGGGGGACAAAGTGAAATCTCCCTCCCACCCCAGCTTCCCAGTTTCCCTCCCCTGAGGCAGCCCCTGTTACATGTTTCTTGGCTATCCATCCAGAGCCTCTGTGCCTTTACAAATAAATAAGCATATGCTTTCCCCCCATTTTTTGCTACATAACTGTTAAATTTTGTTATAAATACACTCTTTTTTACACCTTGCTGTTTTCACCACTTATATGTTGGAGATCTAATAGGTCAGTACACATGGCACAGTTGTGTTCTTTAACATCTGTGTGGTGTCCACCTGTACCCCCCCAGCCATGATTCTCAAAATGTAATCCCAGGACCAGCAGCATCAGTATCACCTGGGAACTTGTTAGAAACGCAAATCTGTTCGCAAGCCCTCCTGGCGATTCTGATGCGAGCCCAAGTGTGAGGGCCCCTGATTTGGAGTCCTCCACTGGTCAGTTAGGTGTGTCAATCTTCTGCTATCGCAAACCATGCTGAAATTAATCTCCTTATACATTTGTTACTTTACGCTTTTCTGTGTATTTGTAGGATAAATTCCTTGAAATCGATTTGCTGGGTCAAAGGCTCTGTGCATGTTTGATATAGACGGATTTTATTACATTATCCACCATAGAAGTTGTACCAGTTTATACTCCCACCCACAGTGACCTCAGTTCTTGTTTGATGGCTGCTTCGTAGTCCATTCTCCAGAGGTTTCTGAGCTGTTGTGGGATGCGTTCAGGTCCTTCAGAAAGAGCTCCTGTTAGGGGAGGTGACAGGCGGGAAGTGGGCTGGTGAGGTGGTGCTAGTGAAGACTGCAGTAGGGGCAAAGGGCTGGGGTGGGGGGTAGTTCAGGAGATGCTCAGGTGAGTGAGTGCACGTGGCAGTGAGGAGAGGAGACCCTGGGGTAACAGAATGGCCCACGAATTCCAGATCCTTTCTAGGGCATGGCCTGGAAGCAGAACTCCCAGAGCTCCAGCTGAGCCAATGACTTGAGCGAGCCATCTTCCCTCGCTGCTTTTGCTTCCGCCCTGATAACTGAGCATGCAGAATGTCACTGGAAGCTGAATTTATTTCTGCTCTTTGAGTCCGTTCCCAACCCCCCCCCACCGCCCCCAAGTATGTTTTGCATTTCTGGAGCCATTGCATTTGCATAAGAACGTCTAGTTTAAAAATCCAAATTGAATCAGTGGAGAATCCTGACAACTTTTTGTATTTTTCCAACTACAAAGATTCTGTTGCCTTCAGGATTCTGTTCCTCAGAAAGGTCGCAGGCTTCCTGAGCATCTTGTCACAACTTTCCAGCAGAAATTTCCAGATAGAAAAGTCTAGGGGGTAATAGCCAAGAGTTTGGGCTCTGGAACCAGACTGCCTCAGTGTGAATCCTGGCTCTGCCACTCGGCAGCTGTGTGACCTTAAAGCAAGTTATGTCACCTCTCTGAGCCTCAGTTTCTTCATCTGTAAACTGGAGCTATTAAAAGTACCTGCTTCCTGGGATTACTGTGAGGATGAAATCATGTAAAGCACCTAGAACAATGCTTGGCACCTAGAAAGCTCTCAGTAAGTGTTATCCATGTTACTGTCATCATTGGTCAGATTTCAAGTCTCCCGTTCTGACTCAACATTGCTCGTGGGATATTTGCAATAGTCACCCACAGAGAAGACCAGATTCCTCTGTGTGATGGAGCATCTGTCCAGCCTGGTTTGTCATCGAATAATACTAAGCCTCTTCCCGCCCAGGATCCTGGGCTGAATTGAAATGACTATGTGGAAATGAGCGGTAACACTGGTTTGTAGGTGAAGCCAGAGTCCGTGAATGTTTTCATACCATGTGCCCTGCCTGCATCTACAGGTCCCTCTGCCTGGTAAGCGCTTCCCTTCCTCGTACACAAAGCAAACTCCTCAACTTAGTCAGCGTTTATCTGGCTTCTACTACATACCAGACGCTGTGGTTGGCCTTCAAGGCCTTGCTTAAGTGATATCTGCTCTAACCACCTCTGACACTCCCCTGCTTCCTTGTGAAAGTAGTGTCCTGTCTGCTTTCTCATGATTCCCTTCTACATAAGAATAATACAAATAGTTTGTGGGAAGCTCAAGGCACAACACAAGTACTTCCAGTGCTGTGGGGGGAAAAAATCATCAAATCCTGGCACCCCATTTTACAGCTGAGGAAATTGAGGCTCTGAGAAGGAAGTTAACTTCCCCAAGGTCCCAAACCTGGAAAGAAGCAGAGCTGGGAGTGCAGCTGGGCCTGCTGACATCAGAGCCCTCCCTCCACCACGGGGCACTCATGCCATGTACCACCGCAGTATGCGTGTCTCTGTTCTGTCACATGTCACACTATGCGGTGATATTCTGCTTACATGTCAAGGTCTTAGCCTACCTGCCTGTGAACTCTTTATGGTCAGGAGCTCATTTATTTTTGTGCCCACCCTGCTGCTACACAGGAAATATAATGATTTTATGGAGGTACACAGAGAGGGCGATGAATTTGCCCAGACCCCACAGCACAGTGCTGCCAAAAGCAGAAACCAAGGGCTGGGAGAGAAGAGGGAAGGAAGATGACCCTGCCTCTCCATGTCATTGTTGCTCACCCACCACCACCCCACTCCCAGCAAAGCTGCCAGAGAGTGACTCACACAGAGCTACCTGGTCCCTCCACAAGGGCAGGTCTCCCTTCAGCCCTTTGCCTGGGCCGCCTCAGCCATGCATATGTTGGGGTTTGGTTAAGGGCCTCCCCACTTGACTAAAAAACATTTTTAATATAAATTTAAACGAGAATTATACTACTATGATGGATTTTCATTCGAAAGTCTTCTGTCATGAAGTCTATGGAGCTGACTTAATTTTCTATGTTGCACTGTTACTCTATTTCCAGTTTTTTTCCATTTTGATAATACTGAAATGATTTTGATTGCCTTCAGTTGTTTTTCATGTAAATATTTATCCTCCGTCAGCTCTTTACCTAGATCACATTCTTGCCAACTATTGCATCTGCCATTGTGAATTTAAAGGTGGCTTTTACTCTGACCAGATTCAGTTTTCGCAGTCACCCTTCTTGAGTTTGAGTTTTGTCCAGATTTGCTTCTCCTTGCAGTTGGTTTCTTCCCATACTCGGTTTTAGCCATTGTTAAGTTTTGTGTGTTGTTGGTTTATTTCCACTCATAATATTCACTGCCTACTGGATAAAAGACTGATCATATTTATATCTCAGCTAATCCATAAGAAAACTGGAGGTAGTCCTCACGAGGCCCAGAACTGCTCTCTTGTCACCAGTGTCCAGGGTTTTCTCTTTCAGTTATTATGTACCCATTGCCTCTGCTGCCTGTGCCCTGGGTCCTCCCAGGAACTGTCCCTGTTGGAGTGCAGTTCTCCTCAATAGCAAGACAATGGGATCAGAGTGTCCTGCCTCAGGTTGGGTGGTCCGCAGCCCAGGCAGAGGGAACAGCACTTGCAAAGCCCTGAGTCAGGAGAACGTGGGGACGCCTGAGGCACCTCAGTGATGGCAGGAGGGGAAGGAGATGAACGAGCTGTTGGGGCACCAAATTCCTGCCAGCATCCAACCCTCAGAGGCAAGACGCACTCCCCGCACTCAGCAGGGCCTTTCTTCTCTCGTCTAGAATGCCTCGGACATGCCCGAGACCATCACCAGCCGGGATGCTGCCCGGTTCCCCATCATCGCCAGCTGCACGCTCTTGGGGCTCTACCTCTTTTTCAAAGTAAGTACTTTGTCACCTGTTGTAGCACTTGGTTTGAATAACTTTATTTGATTTTGTTTTATTTTTCCCATCACAGGAGACATGCATGTTCATTTGTAGAAAATAAAGAGCAGGAAAAATAACAATTTACCCTTAGGCCCACTACGCAGAGACCCCACTGTGATGTGGGGGCCCCTTCCCACCAGTCTATTTCCCTTCTTCAAGGAGCTTTCTGTTTTGTTTTCCTGATACCGGTTTGGTTTCATTGTATTCTTCATATTGGGGTGGGGTATAGCTATGTCTCGGACATACCTCTACCATACTAATTGCTTTTTTTTTTTAATTTATCGAGGTTTATTTTCCCAATAAAAGTTACACAGGCTCAGTGTTGAAAACCTGGAAAACACAGAAAAGTAAAAAGGGGAAAACAACAGCCATCCAAAACCCCCCTGCCAGAGACAGTCACAGAGTCCCTTTGGAGGTGTGTCCTTCCTCTGCTTTTCCCTGTGCATGGTTCCTCCATAGCTGTGAACATGTGGTGTATTCAGTCCTGTAGCTGCTTTTCTCACTTCACATTAATTACATCGTGAGCATTTTCTCATGTTACTGCAAACAAACTTTTTTTTTTAATATAACATGTACTGTTTTCTGATTATAAAAGTAATATATGCAGAAAACTTAAAGAGAGGGAAAAATACACAGAGGTAATCACTATTAACGTTTTGGCATATCTCCTTTCAGGCTTTTCATAATCGTATTTTTAACCTAATTATAATCATTTTATAACTAATTTTTTTAATAATACATTACAAGCACTTTTTTCCTGGTCATTGAAAATTCCTCAAGGATAATTTTTTTTTTTTTCCCCCTGGCCACGCTGCTCGGCACATGGGATCTGAGTTCCCCGACCAGGGATCGAATCCATGCCCCTTGCAGTGGAAGCTTAGAGTCCTAACCACTGGACCACCAGGGAAATCCCTCCTCAAGGATAACTTTTAATTCACATTTAAAAAATACATATATATAGTTTAAGAAAAATTTTTTCAATCTAAGGGAAAGTGCAAATGAGCCATAATCCTCTCCCCAACGTAGTTTCTTGTGACTCATTCTATTATGCATAGATCTACATTTATGTAACAATTTTAAAACAAATATATGTATCGAACATATGGTTCTTACCAGGGAGATATTTTTGTATCAACACAGTCAGAGCTACCTCATTTTTTGTAACAGCTGCTTGTGGTTGTGTTTCGTGGATGTGCCCCTGAGGGGCATTCAGTGGTGGGATGTCCCAGCACTGCTGCCATGAGCATTCTCATGTAAGTATCTTGGCAGGTATATCTGCAGTAGCATTACCAGATCAAACAGCTTCTGGAATAGTTGGTGCCAAATCCCTCTGATTGTACCAATTTACATTTCCTCCAACAGTTACAAGTGTGCTGGCTTCACTGTACTCCCACCTATACTGACTCGCATCAAAATTCTTTATTTTTATCAGTCTGTGAGTGAGTCAGAAACATAATTTTTAACGCCTGCTTCCTGTTCCATCACTCCCTCATTATTGGATCAGAACTGCTCCTCTTAATGATTTCAGAATATCCCCACAAGCAGATACACCACTACTGACTTATAGCATCCCCCTCACTTTAAACAGAAAATATCGTTCTGATTTTTACTCTTATAAGTAAGAGTGCATCAAATAACGTTAGGTATTCACTGATTTTTTTTTTCCTGGACCTCGGGAGAAGAGGTGAATTTATCACATGCTTTGGTTCACAGCACACTGGCATCGGGCCCACGCCAGGGCCCCCTCCTTGTTTCCTTCACCACCTTCACCCTGATGCCCATCTCCATTTGCCACCTTCATTTCCCTTCACCAGAGGCACCTGCCCTAATGCGTTTGATTTGTGTCCTTGGATGTGTGTCTTTTTATAAAATATATGGTGTTAATGTATCTGTGTGTATTTAGTGAGAGTCTAGTTTCCATAAGTAGAACTGTGTTCCTTTTCCTCTCCCCTATGCTCTTGAGATCTCTCTGTGGCTCTGTACACATCTAGCTCATTGCCTCCGACTTGGCTTTTGGCAGATATTTCTTGAGTCTCTGCTGTGCTAAGTGCTAGGAATATACACCCAGGCCTTTGCCTCAGGACCATCTAACATTTTTAGTATTTAGGATTCTCTCCTTAGGCTAGATTCCCCAGAAAGGACTTTCTGGCAGCAGAGGGTGTGAACATTTTTATTTAAGGCTCCGGACGCCTGTTGCTCAGCCTGTCCTCCTCTCCAGGCAGGTAAGCCCCAGCCTGCCTTGTGCCAGAGGACACAGCATACCTCCTCCCAAGTCACCAGAGTGTCCTTGTTGAGATGTCTGAAAGGCAGCTGCCTGCATAGCACGGCCACCAGATCCCTTCCAAAGTCCAGACTGACCGCTGGTTGTGGTTTGCTTAACAGTGGCTCTCACTCTGCCCCTTTCTTCCTCCTTTCCTGGTTGGGGCACTGGAGTTGGTTGCATTTCTCAAAATCATAAAATTTACCTTATCCCACCTCATTTAAACCTGATTGCTTTGAGGCAGCTTATAAAAATTAAATCCAACAGCATAAGAAAAATAATAAAGGAAGAAACTGGGGTAAAGGAGAAAAAATAAAATAGGAAAAGACAGTGAAGCTCTGGGTGAGGACCATACCCAGACCCCATGCTCTAAAGTCTAAAGACTTGTACTCTTGCCAGAAGTGCCTCTGACACAGGCGTGACTGATTTTCTAGCAGCCAAAGCACAAGGAAAGTGAGACTTGGTGCACAATTCATAGTCCACACAGTCAAGCTGACCAGAAGCTCAAAGGTGTGGCCAGATAGAAATTTCTCCCCAGGACCCACGTTGAAAGAACACTGTGTGAGAGGACACCATGTCTTCACGGGTAAACACGGTCCACACGCCTGTGTGGGTAGGAGCATTCACACTGTAGCCACTGATGTGCTCGTCCATTCGGTCATTCTACAAACACACCAGATCCTGTGCTGGGTGCTGGGGACACTGCAGTGAGAAAAACAGCTGGCCCACCCCTGCCCTCAAGGAGCTTCTTGTTAAGTGGTGGAGACAGACACCAGTCAAGCAGTCACACAGATAAATGCGAAGTGACAGTCCTAGAAAGTGGTGTGAAGGCGGGGTCTGTAGCACCAGAAGAGCACGGAAGAATCTGCTCCTGCCCACGCCCCCGTCTCAGACAGCAGCACCTCACCCACCTCACTGCTCGGCCGAACTAGGAGGGTTCCTCCCTCCTCTCAGGACGCAGCCCTCGGCACAGCCCACTTCGCTAGTCCAGAGCTGATCAGGGATCCGACCGCGGCTCATCACATCCCTCCTGCCCCCCAGCCCAGGGCACCATCCTCCTGGATGCAGCTCGCTCGCTGGGCTGTCGGCCTTGACTTTTGCCCTGCGGAGTCTGCCTTCCACACAGCAGCAGAGGGATCCTCTCAGGCCATCAGATCAGATCACAGCCTTGCCCTCAGCCCTGCAGTACCGCCCTGTCTTACCCAGATGAAGCTAAAGCCTTTTTCATGGTCCATCTCCCTCCTACCTTCCCAGCCTCGTCTCCTGACACTCCTTCCTACCTGGGCTCCTGGCCACAGGCCCTCACCGTCCCCTGCACACATGAATGCATGCCCACCTCAGGACCTTTGCACTCACCCTTCCCTCCACCTCAAAGGCTCTTCCCCGAGGTATCCTCACAGCTGCTCTCTTTGTTAAGGGCTCTACTACTAAATGAAGTCAGTGTCGGAGGCTTTCCCAGGCCACCTGTGTGATGCCCCACCCCCACCCCCGGCCTCCTTGCCCTGCTTTGCTTTGCTTCTTAGCGCCCATCTCCACCGGACAGTGTGTTGCATCTTCATCTCGTGAGATTCTCCCTCACTGGCACATGAACTCCATGAGAGCAGGGACTTCTCTGCCTATTCCAGTGCTGAGCACGACGCACTGCACGTAGCAGACAGTCGGTAAACATGAGCTGACTTAACGGAGGTCACGTCAAGGAAAACTGCTTGGAAACCTGGGTGAGGAGAGGAGGGTGTCCTGGGCAGCAGAGAAGCATGTACATGGGCTGCCCGCAGGTGGGAATGTGGCACAGCAAGGCCTGTGTGGTCGCAGCATGGAGAACCACCACGAGAACCACCATGGTGTCACCACGAGAGCATGAGAGGCCAGGGGGAGGATGAGGGCCTTGAGCTCGTGGGAGCAGAGGGAAGCTGCTGAGAGGCGTTAAGAAGCAGATCGAGGGGCTCAGACAGAGGTTTAAACAGGTCCCTACTTGAGAGTGGCCAGTGGCACCAGACCCCACACCACAGCACATTATTCCCTCCCAGCTAGAAAGCCTCACGATAACAAATTAGAAGACGATGCAGGGCTTCCCTGGTGGCGCAGTGGTTAAGAATCCGCCTGCCAGTGCAGGGGACACAGGTTTGAGCCCTGGTCCAGGAAGATCCCACATGCCGTGGAACAACTAAGCCCGTGCGCCACAACTACTGAGCCTGCGCTCTAGAGCCTGTGAGCCACAACTGCTGAGCCCGTGTGCCACAACTACTGAAGCCCGTGTGCCTAGAGCCCGTGCTCTGCAACAAGAGAAGCCACCGCAGTGAGAAGCCCCCACGCCACAACGCGATGAAGAGTAGCCCCCACTCGCCGCAACTAGAGAAAGCCCACATGCAGCAACAAAGACCCAACACAGCCAAAAATAAATAAAATAAATTTATGAAAAAAAAGTGCAGCAACCATGGAGCCATATGGCACAGCCTGCCTGAAGTCCAGAATTAACAACATGTGACCACTGGCTTTAGCCCTGCGAGAGACAACATTCCTTGGGTTCACCTAACAATAACAGGACCAAGAAGCAGCTGTAAGGGCCTGCCATCAGAGCTTCAGAATCACTGGGGGAGGGGTCGTCCAAAAGAGCATGGAGAATGGAACAGGGTGCAGATGACTCAACTGTGTGGCCGCTGTAGGGGGCTCCCTAGATTTTTGAGCAGAGAGAAGGAAGCTTGGAAGAGTGCATTCTGAGGTTCAGACGGCTCTCTTGGGACTCTGGCCCCCCCCCCCCCCCCATGCAGGACCCTCGACACGCACACAATATTGCCTGTCTGCAAATAATGGAGCCACCAAGCACAAACCTACAGACTCCTTTGGGAGGTGCATCTGAGGGCTTCAAGTTCCTTCCCTTTTTCCTGTTGCCATAGAAACTAGAAGGCCCCCAGTACCATTTGAGAGTCTGACACCATTCCCCAGCTCCAGAAGAGAAGCGTGGACTCTGGTTTCCTCATAGCCACTGGCAACCCTGACTTCCTGTTTCTCTTTGTATTTCTGCCTCAGATATTCTCCCAGGAGTACATCAACCTCTTGCTGTCCATGTATTTCTTCGTGCTGGGAATCCTGGCCCTGTCCCACACCATCAGGTCAGAAGGCATCTCTGCGACATTTGAAGCAGCTTTCTCAAGAGCAAGTACAGGGTCTCGGATGAGAACATGACCTCTGGCGTCATTCAGAGCCAGGTTTGAATCCTGGCTGTAAAATCCAAGGGAATCTTTCCCCTGTGTTATACCGTGGGTGACCTAGAACAAGAACCATAACCTCTCTGGGCCACAGTTTCTTTACAAGGAATGGTAAGAATATCCAGTGGGTATTTCCCACCACGGTTGTTGGGAAAGTTATTTGTGAACAGTAATGTCATGGTAGTTGTCACAGTACTGAGAAGAGTGATGCCATTGCCACCTGCGAGGTGTCATAGTTGCTGCACACGCACTAAGCTGGCCTCTCACACGTGGTCTCAGCTCATAAGAGAGCGAGGCAGTATCGAGAGAAGTTAGGAGCACAGGCTCTGGAATTTCACTATCTGACTTTGAATCCAGACTCTGCCACTTAATAGCCCTGTGACTTCGGGCAGTTTACTTAATCTCTCTGGGCTCAATTTCCTCACCTGAACGTGAAGAAAACTGATAGTACCTTCCTTATGGGTCATGTGGAAAGCTTTTAGCACAGTATCTGGCACTCAGTGTGTTCAATAAATGTTAGCCGTTGTTGTTGTTATTATTATTATTATCTGTTACATTCAGAAACTGAAGCTCAGAGAGGTTAAGAAATTTGCTAGGACAACACAGCTGATAAGCAGCAGAGCCAAGATTCAAACCTAAATTTCTGTGGCCCCAGAGCCCATCCTCTTTTCACTGCCACCCTGCTCAGATTGCCACACATTGTGTCAGTTCAGTGGGGAGGAAGGGTCTAAGCCACTGGTCCTTGCGTGGGGCTGCTTACCAAATGGGAGCTGTGCCCCCAGCACACCCCCTCACTGTGACTACAAAAGCATCCCAGTCTATTTCCATCTGGTCTCTTGAGGAGGTACAGCCTCGGGCTGAGAACCACAGAGGTGGTCAGCAGACCAGGAAAAGTTTCCAGATGGCAGGAACACAACTTGGACTCAACTCCGAAGGGTAGGAAACCCGAAAGAGGGTGTAGGAGGGAGATGCCAGGCCAGGAGCTGGAGGGTCTGTGCACATTGACAGTGCAGGCGGGATCTCCCAGAACAGTCAGAGAGAAAGAGCAGGATCCTCGTGGAAGCTTGCAGAGCCAGGGGGAGTTTAGCCTCGTTCCTCTCAGCAGGACCCTGGAAGTCAGGAGCATAGGCTCAAAAGGCACATGGCCCTGGAAGCAAGGCTCTGTTATTTGTGCAAGTTACTCAAGCTCTCCTAGCATCAGTTTCTTCACCTATAAAATGGAGATGCTGTGAGTACCTCCTCGTAGGGGCGTGGGAAGGATCAAGTGAGCACGTCTGTGACCTGCCCAGAGTAAGTGCCAAGCGCACTGAGAGTGAGCGGCTGGCCCGAATTCACATAGCTAGGACTGAGTTCAGTGTTGTCTCCAACTACACCTACCTTCACCCACAAGGCCTTGTTCTAGCGCCCCACCTCCTGCCAGCCCCACCATCCTTTTAGGGTGGAAACCCAGAGAGCCTGACTGACTAGGACCCAGCAAGATAGTGGCAGACCCAGTCACCCTTCCTCAAAGGACAGACCTGTCCTTTCCTGGTGGACCGGTGTGGGAGCAGTCACTTCCCATGCTGGTTTGGATCGCCCCCCAATTCTAGCCCATCTCTCCCCACCCCCCAGCATCTACAAGAGCCTTAAGAGCCCAGTCCTCCCCACAACCCAGCCACCACCTCAGAGTGCAAGAACCCAGTATATTTTGTTCGGCCATGTGCTGAGGAATTGATTATTTCACTTTATCTCAACAATCCTACAATCAATATGAGCAGGATATTTTGAGCCTGTGTCATTTTGACACCAGAGACCTTTTTTTCCCTTTTAGAATAGTAACTGAGGAACAGTGTCCCAAATTTCCCGTGGATTAGCCAAGAAACAGTTGTCTTTTAACCAATTCATAATTTTTACTGTTAGAAATTATCAAAGAAAATAGAACCAAAGCAACTAAAACTGGACATGGTAAAATTTGTTAGTGACTAAAAATTAACAGAAGAATCATTTTCTTGATAAGATTTAGAGCACACAGTTTGACCTGGGAAGATTAGACCTTATGAAGATAATGGGTGGCCATGGGCATAAAGGGTATTCACCATTCAGGGTCCGAGCTATCCTCTGAAAAAAATTGATATGGGCTAAAAGCTGGGATGAAAGAAATCATTACTGTAAAATGTACATGGAAAAGAACTGAATCAGGTGAAAATAATTTTAGTAGAAAAGGGGAAGGGCATAGTTTAATCATGCTATTTAGGTAGTTGATCTAAGAATTAAATTGACTTTTCTTCAATCAAATTGAATTTTCTTAAATATTTTCTCAAAGAAGTCTACAGTGTTGTTAGAATTTTGATGAATTGTTTATATGTATCCACAAGCTCAGTCAGACCTGCCTCAGGATCCAAACAAGGTCTAAAGATTCAAGACAGGAAAACTGAGGCTCAGAGAGCTTCGTAGCTGCTAGGAGCAGAGTGAAGTTTTGAGCCCAGGTCTGTCCAACTCCACGGCCAGGTATTCTTTCCGGTCTGACAGAAGTGAAGGGGAGAGGGAACTTAAAGACAGGCCCTGGGCACCCTCTCTGGTGGGCTATGGCCTCCCGAGGACTAGCAGAGGAGAGGCCTGCTGAGAGGCTGTGGAAGCTGAGCCCAGCGCAGCGTAGCCCAGGCAGAGGCGCTCATGGGATTCCTTCCACTTCCCCCGGCCGCCTCAAGCCTCCCTGGAAAGATAGCACAGCTTGAGGTTTTGGAGGAAGGCAAGGGCTCACAGCCTGCCCTCACCTTGTCGGTCACCAAGACTCAAGCCCGTGCCAATATCCTTCCTGCCAAGGGAACCACAGCTTATTTTTATCACCTCTTGAGTTCATATCCCACCCAGATGACCTTTAGACGAAAAGGTTCATAAGACCATAATCTGCCACCCCAGGGGGGCGAGGCCACATCACCTGTGTCACTGACCCTTGCCTTCACCCCCAGGGGAGAAGGGGACCAGGATGTGATTTCCCAGCAGGAAGCAGTGGCCTTTAGGCTTGGCATGAGCCATCGAGGGCCGGGAGGAGTCTCTGCCTGCTACAAAAGCCCACATTCAGAGGTGTTCCGCAAGCATTTACTAGCTGCCTCCCAGGCCCCAAGCCTGGCATGAGTGTAGTGAAGGCGATAAGTCGGGACTCCTGCCCTCAAGGCAGGCTCGCACCGGCCAGGTTGCTTGACTCTTACCATGTGTTACCCAGCAGCCCCTCTTTTCTCGAGATAACAAAGACATCAGTCTAGAGACTTCCTACTTGGAGTTGAAGCTGCGGTTAAGCTTACAGGGTGCCAAGCATTCGTATAATCCTCTTAATATCCCTATGAGAAAGATATTGTTATAGTGTTCCAAATGAGGAAACAGTTGCACAGAACAGTTAAGTAACTTTGCCAAGGTCACACAGCTCAGTGGCAGGGCTAGGCGTTGAACCCAGGAAGCCTGGCTCCAGAGTCCATACTCTTAACCACTGTATTCTGCTGGTTGAGCTCCTAAGGCAGATGCCAGGCTGGAGTGAAGGGCTTAGCGCCTCAGGCCTTCTCTCTGCCTCTGCACACACCCTCTGGCTTCAAACTCCCTAAAAGTGATTCAGCAAACTGAGCTGAAAGTAGCTTACAGCCTCATCCATCCCAGCTGCTGCCTCCCACCTGCTCAGAGCCCATTTGTAGAAACCCACTCCCAATTGCATCCTTGTGTTGACCATGTCTCCACATAATCACGAAGCCCTCTCATCATTCACGCCATAGCCCTGCAGACTGGGAGGGATTGGCTGTTGGACAAGTGGGGAAACTGAGGCCCAGAGATGGTTCTTAATCGATATTTTCTTCCTCCAAGCCCCAGGGTCTTGGACAGCTCCCTTTTCCCTGCCTTTACCACTGTGCCCTTGGTACCACTCGGCCTGGGTCCATTTTCCTACAGCTGGGAGCACCATTCTGGATTTGCCTACCCCATCAGTCGTTGTCGGTCTGATCTGGTGTTGCCAAATGCTTTCGAGCTCAGGCTCTGGACAAGTGCCAGCAATGATGGACACTCACAGTTCTTATGACCCCTGTTGAGGATCCAGTGCTGGGCTAAACTTCTCCCCACCTTCTCTCCTACCTTCACAGCAATGCTTTGAGTCAGGTGGTATTATCCCCACATATAACCAAGGAGACTGAGCCACTAAAGTGGCTCGCCCAGGGCCTCACATGGCAGAGCACGTGTCGGGGCTGGGCCCCCCAAGCTTGTGTCCACTCCACGATGCTGCCACACCAGGCTGAGCAGAAGCCCCTGGTTTTCTTTTCCTTCTCTGAAGGTGATCCAGAAAAGAAAGTCTCTGCTCCCTGCCTGGCCAGGAAGTGGACCATGCTGAGTAATCAGAGAGAATGCTTCCAGAGACAAGGCCAAGCCCATCGTGAGCAACAGAGGCCTCACGGAAGGAGTGAATGTGAGGTTGCTCCCACCCAAGGGGCTGTGATTCATCTAGCTGATCAAGTCCGGCTGAGTTTGTAAAAATCCCAGGCCTGACAGGTCATGGAGTGGGGTGTCCATCAGGTCATCTGACTTAATAGGTCTGGAAGGGAGTCCAGGAATATGCATTCTTTTTTTTCCCCATATTTAATTCCTTTTATTTGGATTACAAAGCTGACACCATGCTTATTATTGAAGTAAGAGGTGCAGGTAACAATAATTCACATTATACTGTTTATGCTTTATCTGTGTTGGCATAGTTTATGTAATATTTAAGGGATCACCTAGAAGGAATTGCCTCATATCAACATAGCTAAGTGTTCTGGGAAACTGAAAATTAAAGGAAATAGTTAAAACAAATCCCCAGAATAGTGTACTTTATAGTCAACTCCGGCTGGCTCTGGGTCTGCTAACTGCTAGAGAGAGAGAGGAGTGTGCTAGATTTTTATGGGGTTTCAAAAACTTTAAAATAGTTTAACAGGCTACCTTTGAAAGAGTGATTGGATGGACTTTTTTTTTTTTTTTTGCCTTAGTGATTGCCATTAACGAAAAAGAAAAAAGCAAGTGGGGATGGTTGACCCTAATGATTAAAGGAA